GAAGAAAATTCACCAGGTTACCATTTCCTGATTAGTATTCAGAGATCCCATTTGGAAAATGCATGCTTGAGTAGGTGTTAGCTGAGAAACGAGATCACACATTTGTCAACTTCATTACGTGGGGCACAAACTTTGTGTTACAATTCTACAGACACTAGTTAGCTGAGTATCTCAGTCAAAATATCCATTTTTCATGCATAGGTAAGGTAATCATCATCAGGATCATAACTAATATTAATATGGTCACAACAACATCCAGATACTTGAGCACTTTCCAGCAGGAGTCACTGAGTAGTAATGAGGAGCAAAGCACTGGCTGATTTTTCATTTCCACTTTCAAGTACACTCAGGTTGAGTGTAGTACTCCTGCTGAGATGAGCTAACCCAGCAGATGAGGAAGTAAAGCAGGCACTTATTGGTCAGTTGGGCCATAAAACTATTTTTAGTCTTTAGAAGTTGAGTTGAATGAGCAGAATTTTCTATGTTAATTTTTAAAATTCTCAGATTTCTCATTATTAATCTTGTTTGCATGAGTGAATTTTGGAATTGTTCGTGGCAGTTAACATAGAGATAAATAGCTGTTTCCTTCACGTTTCAAAGTAATCAATCCCCTTCCCTTCATGGCTAGTCCTGCGAGGCAAGCTGTAGGTAAATGCATAATTCAGAAGATTAATCAATATTAGCCAAGGCTAACCATTATCCATTCAATGACTCTATGAATCAGCATCTCTCTAAACACAAAGCAGACTTTTAATACGGCTACAGTATCCCTTCGAGGGCGCAATTCAAAGATGCATAAGTACAATCCGCTACCATTATTCCTCAATTTTCACTGTTTTGAATTTCAAGCTCAAGTTAGTTGGCTGATGAACTTCCCAACCAGACACACTAAACAGTTTCTCATTGTGCATGTGGAATTTATATTTTCTAACAGTTTATGTTTCTGATAAAATCTTATCCTTTTTCTCTCAAATGGTCTCTGCACAAGTCTCTTTCCTTACTTGACCAAACCTTGTTACTGCATCGTGAAGTGTAACAAGAACAACTGAAAATCAGATATAGGACAAGTTATTCAATTGTTACCTGCACTGCCAAACAATGATCCCAAACAATTTCCTTAATTATTTTTATTGTACTGTGTTCTGCAGTTCATTGAGTCTTAGAATCACAGAGATCTGCAACGCAAAAGAAGGCCCTTCAAGCCCATTGAATCTGCACCAGTCAAAAACAACCATCTAACTATTCTAATCCCATAGTCTTGTATATCTTGGCGTCATAAATGTGGAGCCTTCATGAATTGAAAAGAAGTTGTTAATTTCAAAATGAAGATTGGTCGATTTTAGAACACAATTGGATCAGAACAGACTTCACAAACAGAAATATGAATAATTGCAACTAGTGGAATATGTCCACATAGCACAATGCAGATTCAAATCCAGATTGACAATGCATCGCTCTAAAGAGAGATATATTGGGCAAGATTTTGTATTGAGATTGAAACTGAGATAAGGATATTTGTACTCATTGTTATTACGGAATAAATCTGATAGCAACTTCCAAGGTTTACTTCAATAAACTAAATGTGTGAATCTGAAAGTTTTCTACTGAATTACCTTGTTCATCCAAAGGTTGTGCTATAACATTACAGACGGTTCAAGGACAGAGTCAATTTAGCTAGAACTACAGAATAAAGATGGTGCAAGTCTTTAAATAACCACCAACTAGTGAAAAGGATGTCGAAGGACAAATCTTCAGGACAATTACAGAGAAATGTTAACATTATAAAGTATTATAATAGTGACTTCAATGACCAAATATAGACAGGGATACTGCTAGTGTAAGGGGCAGCGAGGGGCAAGTGTTCTTAGATTGTTTTCAGCAGATCTCCTACAGCAATATGTGTCTAGACCAACAAGGAAGGATGCATTTGTCTCTGGAAATGATTTGGGCCAAACGGATCAAGTGTCAGTGGGGTAACACTTAGGACACATTGGTCATTGTATCATCAGGTTCAGCGTGGTGTTGGAGAATGACACGCAAACCGAATAAGTAAAATAATTTGGTGGAGAGCTTACTTCAACAGGGCAAGAAAATATCGTAGCAGAACTGACTGGAATGAGGGGTTGATGAGAAAAAGAGTAACTGAACAATGGGACACCATGGATATTGTCGAGGTATATTCCCTCTAATGAGAAGTGTGCTTATGACATGGGTAAGGCAGAAAATACAATTAAGATCCAACAGGAATACCAAAGGTTGAGGAGGAGGTAAAAGCAAATAACAGAAGCAAAGTGGAACTGTGAAAAAAGACTAGCAGATAACACAAAGGGAAATCCCAAAGTCCTCCAATGGCATATTAACAGTAACAAAGTGGTTAAAGTAGGGCCAATCAGGGACCAAAAAGGGTATTTACATGTGAAAAAATACAGTAAAACAAACAAAGAACTGCAGATGATGGAAATCTGAAATAAAAACAGAAATTACTGAAGAAACTCAGCCTGTCTGGCAACATGTGTGGAAAGAAAGCAGAATTAATGTTCCTGATTTCAGGGCACTGCACTCAAAACGTCAACGCTGCTTTCTTTGCAAGCATGCTGCCAGACAGGCTGGGTTTCTCCAGTAATTTCTGTTTCGGTTTTAGATTTACACGTGGAGGCAGGGAACAGGCTAAGGTGTAAAATTAATACCTTGCATCTATCTTTACAATATAAGATGCTGCTGCCCAGGTATTGATGACATAGGAGGAAACTCTGTCACTAGAAGGATCCAAAATTAATAAGGAAGAAGTCTTGGATAATTTATTGGCACTTAAGGTTGACAAGACACTGGGACCAGATGGGATGCATCCAAGGATTTTGAAAAAAAGACAGGGTAGGAAGTGCAGGGAAACTGGCCACTAACTTTCAACCTTCCTCTGGGAAGGTGCCAGAAGACTTGGGAAAATTTCTAGAAACTATTATTTGGGATAGAGTTAGTAGTCACATGGGGAAAGATAGATTGATTAGGAAGAGTCAACATGGATTTTTAAGTGGAAAATATGTTGAACTAACTCACTGGAATTTTCTTTGAAGAGGTAACAGAAAAGGGTCAATGATGGCAACACTGTTGATGTGGTATACATGGATTTTCAGAAGGTTTTTGATATAGTGCCAAGCAACAGATTTGTGAGAAAAGTTATTGTTCATGATATAATAGGGACAGTAGCAACATGAGTACAAAATTGGCTGATTGACAAGAAACAGACAGTAATGCTCAATGGATATTTTTTGGGTTGGAGGCTGGTTTGTAGATGAGTTCCCTAGGGGTCAGTATTGGGACCCTTGCCTTTCCTGATATAAATTAAAGATCTGGAGCTTGGTGTGCAAGAGACAATTTCCAAGTTTGCAGACGAAGCTAAACTTGGAAGAATTGTAAACTGTGAAGAGTGTGCACCTCTAGAATGACACTGCCAAATTGGTAGAGTGGGCAGATAAGTGGCAGATGAGGTTCAATGCAGACAAGTGTAAGGTGATGTACTTTGGTCAGAAAAACATTAAAAGCCAATATTAAATGGGGGACAATTCTAAAGGAGGTGCAGAGGGACCTGGGTGTATATATGCATAGATCTTTGAAGCGGCAGGAAAGGTGGAGAGGGCAGTTAATAAAGTGTTCTTGGCTTTATTTATAGGGGCATAGAGTACAAGAGCAAGGGGGTGAAACTGAACTTGTACAAGACATTTGTTAGACCTCAGCTGGAGTATTGTGGACAGTTGTGGTGCCACATTATGGAAATACATGAATGCACTGGAGATTGTGCAGAAGTAATTTACAAGAATGATTGCAGGAGTGAGAAACTTCAGTTATGAGGACAGATTGAAGAAGTTGGGACTGTTTGCCTTGGAGAAAAGAAGGCCCAGAAGAGATTTAATAGAGGTTTTCAAAACCATGAGCGGGTTGGACAGAGTAGATTGGGAGATGTTCCTGTTCATAAAAGAAAATTATCCTGCCCAGAAATGTGGTGGAGGCAGGTTCAATTGAGGCATTCAAGAGGGGTATTGGATGGTTACTTGGACAGAAATGATGTGCAGGGATATGAGGAAAAAACAGGTGATTGGCTCTAGATTACAGAACCAGTGCAGGCACGATGAGCTGAATGGTCTCCTTCTGCACCATAACAATTCTGTGATTACCTCATGATAAGATTTCTCATTGAAATCTATGCATCAAGTTGTTGTAGTTATTGACCAAACACACTAAGAGCTCATGTATTCAGATGTAAATTATTTTTAAGACATAAGAAGTGAAAATTGTGAATAAACACTCTGAGGCTCTAAAAATTTAATTTAGCGACCATGGAGTCACATTCCTTCATGAATTCAACTGAAAACAAAATCCATGTACTTTTTTTCACATTTTTTTCTCTTATTTATCCTAGTCAGTTTCTTCCTAAGCCCTCGTATTCCATTCCACATTACACTAATTATTCTGTTCATTCCATCTTTCTTTCCTTCACTACTTTCTTTAATTTACCACAAAATAAATACTGTAATTTGTACTTCCTTGGCTCAACAAGGATTCTTTAATCTGATCTGAAGACCCTCATTGGTCCCTTACCTTTTCTGATACGCCACTATACAAGGTGCCGCATGAAATGATTTAATAATACATAATGCCGCTCAAAAGCAAACTAAACCATCTGTGTCAATTATCAGCATGATGAATCATAAGTGCCACTCCTTTGCTGCTGACTGCAAAATCCCAACCATTTGCTGAATGAGGGCTTACTCTGAAGTGGTCCACTTGCCAATTGCTTATCCTATTTAGTTACACATAAAATACTAAGTTTTATAACGCCACCTCAAATCAAAAATTAAACTTTTTAAATCACAAACCAAATCGAACAAACATCCAAGTGAAACAGGTTGGAAAACAGGTCAATAAAAAGGGATACTGTAGCTTCAAATCTGATCAATTTACTGTGACCAGTGCATAACATATATTTACCTCTACAAGTCACTTACCAGCAGACGACATCCTTCGTTCCAACTCCCATTCTAGCTGTTCTCTCTCAAGCTGTTCTTGTTGCTCTCTTTCTTGCCGTTCCATTTCCTCTCTTTCTTGCCTTTCTCGTTCCTGTCTTTCTTGTTCCATACGCTCATGTTTTTCTCTCTCTTGTTTTTCACGTTCTACTTGTTCCTGTTCAAGCCTTTCCCTTTCCAACTTTTCGCGTTCCATTCGCTCACGCTCCAAGCGTTCTCTTTCTAGTTCCTTCTGCCGTTGCTGCTCCTGAAGTTGTCTGGAACACACAAGACGACACATTGGATGTTACGTCAAGGGAGAGTTGTAAGCCACAAAACTGTAACACAATTTTCAGTACTAAATGTTTGAATTGCACTGGTCACTTTGTTCTCTTTTAAAAGAAACAAGACATTCTTTTGCTCTTTACACAAATTTTTCTCAAGTCTTTGGGTTGACTATAAAGATTTCCTTCTCTGTGAACTCTTTACCTTACACATGCACCAATCACTTCTGGCACAGCCAATCTTATAAAGTTCTTCATACCAACATCTGGGGACTGGTACCAAATTTGGCAGAATTGTTACAAAGGCCATTCAGGCAGTAGTTTAACTGTCAGAATCTCATAAATACTATTTAATATTAAAGAATAACATTTGGCAACACCAAGGCTTCCCTATTACATGCAAACTCCACAAAGACAGTCATCCAAGGCTGGAATCGAACCCAGCTCTCTTGTGCTGTGAGGCAGCAGTGCTAACCATTCAGGCACTGCGATGCCCTTAATGGTAATGTGCTGGAGGTTGGTTCAACTGATATATTCAAGAGGGAATTTGATGATTATTATTTGTAGGAAACTTGGTACTGACCATACTCGACCAGCTCACACTCGCAAATCTCGCATCACAGTGTCAAACATCAAATGTGATTCAACAATTGGATAATGCCGAGTGTACAATGATTTATGTTGAGGATTGTAATTCAGGCTTGTCAGTCAGGGGGAGGAAGGGGTGACATATACTGATATACAGCACTCTGTTTTTTGCGGACAGAAAGAACATGTACATGTGCTTGGTTACACTCAACAAAATAGGTGACAGTACCCGTTAGTTTATTACTCAGGGCAATGCCTTGTCTAAATAGAGTTGACATGCCTGCATGGTTTAAAAGTTAATGAAAATCTGGCAGTTAAATATCAATCATCATTAACAGGTGCATTTGTAAAGGCATCTTTTTATTTTTCTGTATTTTTGATTGTGAACTGAAATGGGAAAATTATTATTTTAAAAACCAGGAATTGTGAAAAGAATTGCCACACTTTTAAAAAGCAAATTATCTGACACTCACTGTAAGTGCTGTTTACATTACTGTTTGCTCAAGATATTGGGGGTGGGGGTGGGTGCAGCAGAAGTCTCATTGCAGATGGGAAGAAGCTAAGGACTGGGTACAAATGGAGGTTTGGCTGGCAACAAGCAACTGATTGATATGGGACTGGTGACTTGTTGTGAATGACAAAGGTCTACTACCTGCCAATATCTATGTGATTGGCTTCCAGGTAGCTGAACAGCTTGTGCATGTAAATGTTTGAGCCAGAAGGCATCTGATGTCTGGAAAGGAAGGAGCTGTCCTTCACTTTCAAGTTAAAAAAAAAATCAAGCCTTAAGAAACCCAGTTCATTTTCTCACATAAGTTGCAGTAGGCTATGGCTCAGATGAAGGTGTTGTAAGTTTAAATCAATCGCTCTGTGCCTCCTGCAAGCAGGTGAACGTACCTAGAGAAGGAACATCAAGTCCTGACAAGCTGAAAGGATCATCCCAATCAACCATGCGACCATTAAACTGCCTTCCCAGTCTTTTCCTCGGTCTAAGAAACCTTTTTTCTGTGCCTGTCCTGTAGGAGGAGTTTTATAAGGGGGTTAGAGTTTTAGTTGGTGGAGCGCTATGTCATAATTGTTTATTTGTAGATAGGCACTATTTTTGAGTAACAAATAGAAATTCTTGAAAAGTAGAGGAATCTGGTCTGCGCAGGTAAAACTAGAATTCCAAAGATAAGAGAAAAATAGAGCAGCGGAAATGAAAGGAATAGAGAGGGAATTGCAACTTAAAATACATGAATTTCATCTTCAGAAGGAAGGAAATGAAGAAAATACCTACTTAAGAGGATGGGGAATTGAAGTTTCAAGAGAGAGATTAGGATAAAAACTGGGAATTGAAACAACAATATTGGCCTAGAAGAACCTTGAGCAAATACAACTATGTTATTCATTAAGGTAGTGTGACTGGTCTTCCACAGTAAGATGTTTTCTAATTCCAGTTCTAAAAGTTAGATATGTGAAAGCCTTCACTGTAATAATCTATCATTTATTACCATTTCTAACTCGTCTCCACACCAATGATCAAGATATTTAACATTGCTATTCCATGTAAATAAAAATCTCTAAAAATGTGCATCATTTACTACACAGTAGTCATTAAAGTATCAATGAAGCACCGAGGATGAGGGAGCTGGCAAGGGAATGTGGTGCAGGAAGCCATCAATGTGAAGGAGGCCAGCGTGGAGGCAGAATGGAGGGAGCCAAAAAGGAGGCGGAGAGATGGACCTGACAAGGAGGCAGAGTGGAGGGAGGCAGAGTGGACAGAGCTAGAATGGAGCCAGAATGGAGGGAGCCGGAAAGGAGTTAGAGTGCAGAGAGCCAGCGAGGAGGTGGAGTGGAAGCAGAGTGGAGGGTGCCATAATGGAGGGAGGGTGGAGGGTGACGAAATGGAGGCAGAGTGGAGGGATCCAGTAAAATATAGCTCTTTTGTCTGTGTATGGATGAAGGCTATAATGAGGTCTGGATCCCAGTGATCCTAAGTGTTATTGGATAGCACTGCTAAATACACTTTTCAGTATTTCAGTAATGATAGAGATTAGACTGTTGGGATTGTCACAACACTCTGGGGTACTGCACTAGAAATCAAGCTCCACTAATCCTGGAGCCACTACAAATTACTCAATGATTTGCAGAACATAAGGAAGCTTAGAGGAACACAGGGATCTTAGGATTTTGTTTTATTCATTCTTGGGACACGAGAATCGCTGACTAACCAGCATTTATTGCCCATCCTTAGCTCCCCTCGAAAAGGTTGTGGTGAGCTGCTTTCTTCAACCACTGCAGTCCATGTACTGTGGGTTGACCCACAATGGCCTCAGGCAAGTAATTCCAGGATTTTGACCAGCGACAGTGAAAGGAAGGCAATATATTTCCAAGTCAAGACAGGGAGTGGTTTGGAGGGGACATTGCAGCTGGTGGTGTTCCCATGTATCTGCTGCCCTTATCCTTCTAGGTGGAAGTGGTTGAGAGTTTGGAAGGTGCTGTTTGCGCATAGGTTAATAGGATAGTTAAGAACACATATGGGACACGTGCCTTTACCAGTCGTGGCATAGATTATAAAAGTAGGGAGGTTATGCTGGAGCTGTACAGACCTTTGGTTAGGCCACATATGGAGTACACTGTACAGTTCTCATCACCATACCATAGGAAGGATATGATTGCACTAGAGAGGGTACAGAGGGGACTCACTGGGATGTCACTTGGATTGGAGCATTTTAGCTATGAAGAGAGGGTGGATAGGCTCATGTGTTCTTTAGTGAGGAGAAGGCCAAGGGGGGACCTCTTTGACATGTACAGGATTTTAAGGGGCACGGACAAGGTGGATAGAAAGCACTGTCTGGGAGGGTAGTAGAAGTGGGAAACCTCACAACCTTTAAAATCTAGGTAGATGAGCATTTGGAATGCTATAACATTCAAGGAATGTTCAAGGAACATTCGAGGCCAAGTGCTGGAAAACAGGGCTAGTGTAGATAGGTCGGCAGAAATTCAATGGGCCAAAGGGTCTCTTCTGTGCAGTACAGATCAGTTAGCTGGATGGTTCATTTGAGATACAGAGTCATGTCAACAGCAGGGATTCAATTTCCACACTGGCTGAGGTTACCACAAAGAACACTCTTTCTCAATCTCTCCCTTGCCTGAGGTGTGGTTAACCTCAGGTAAAAGCATCACCAGTCATCTCTTTCTCTCTCACTCTCTAATGAGACAACAACCCTATGTTTTGGTAAGACTATGGCAACTTTACTTCTTTGACTCTAAATGTAAAGATTCAATGAAATTACCAAAAATCTCAAATAGCCTCAGACTGGATGGTCCATTGGATAAAAGCAAACTACATCAGGTTATTTCAGTAACAATAAAACTTGCCTGCATTACCATTGTAACACTCATGACTTTAACAATAGTAAAAGAGCAGATTTCTAATGTAATTATCTTAAATTTTTAATAATTCCTCTTAAGAATAAAAGACAGTCAAAATACAAATAGTTACTGGATAGGAAAAAAATGTAAGGGGAACAGTTCTATACCATCGGTCCAAAATTACAAGATGATTTAGAAACATAGAAAATAGGTGCAGGAGTAGGCCATTTGGCCTTTTGAACCTGCACCACCATTCAATACAATCATGGCTGATCATGCAATCTCAGTATCCCATTCCTCCCCTCTCTTCATACCCCTTTTAGCTGCAAAGGCCATCTCCAGCTCCCTCTTGAATATATCTAATGAATTAGCCCCAACAGCTTCCTGTGGGAGAGAAATCCACAGGTTCTCAACTCTCCAAGTGAAGAAATTCTTCCTCATTTCAGTCCTGAATGGTTTACCCCTTATTCTTAGACTGTGACCCTTTGTTCTGGACTTCCCCAACATTGGGAACATTCTTCCCATATGTAGCCTGTCCAGTCCCATCAGGATTTTATATGTTTCTATGAGATCCCCCCTCATTCTTCTAAATTCCAGTGAATACAAACCCAGTTGAACAGTCTTTCCTCATATGTCAGTCCTGCCATCCTGAGAATCAGTCTGGTGAACCTTCACTGGACTCCCTCAACAGTAAGAATGTCCTTCCTCAGACTAGGAGACCAAAACTGCACACAATAATCAAGGTGCGGCCTCACCAAGGCCCCATATAAATGCAGCAAGATATTCTTATTCTGATACTCAAATCCTACTGTTCTACTACTGGGGAGGCAATGGCCTAGTGGTATTATCGCTATACTGTTAATCCAGAGACCCAGATAATGTTGTAGGGACCCGAGTTCATATACTGCCACGGCAGATGGTGGAATTTGAATTCAATAAATATCTGGAATTTACAATCTAATGTTGACCATGAATCCATTGTCAATTGTTGGAAAAACCCATCTGGTTCTGTGATTCCAGACCCACAGCAATGTGGTTGAATCTAAACT